AGGATCTCATATGGGCACTGGTTCTAATCCCAGTGGCCCCACTTCCCATCCAGCTCCCTGCTTGTGGCCTGGGAAGGCAGTCGAGGACGGCCCAAAGCCTTGGGACTCTGCACCCATGTGAGGGACCTGAAAGAAGAAGCTCTTGGCTCTTGGTTTCAGACTGGCTCAGCTCTAGCCACAGTGGTCACTTGGAGAGTGAGCCATCAGATGGAAGATCATCCTGTGTCTCCTCCTCTCTGTATATCTGACTTTGCAATAAAAATAAATAAAGCTTCCAAAGAAATGAATGTTTAAAACCAATGTATAACATTAATCTATACTTTGGCCATATTTAAACAGATGAAGCTCTTATTCATAATTAGTTGACATTTCTTACTTAATCTCACTGTTAGACACATGACAAGAAATGGAGCCTAGTCACTGTGACAATTTCACAAGGTATCTAAGGCCTCTTACATGTTAATCAGTTTGCTTCCTGATTTTTTCATATCACATGGCTTTGGTGTAACCATATTATGCACTTCCCTGTCTCCTTTATTTCATTCTCTGATAGTATTCTTTCTCCAGGTTTTCTTTTTTTTTTTTTCTTTTTTTTAAGATTTATTTTATTTTCATTGGAAAGTCAGATATACAGAGAGGAGCAGAGACAGAGAGGAAGATCTTCCGCTCAATGGTTCACTCCAAGTGGCCACAATGGTTGGAGCTGAGCCAATCCGAAGTCATAAGCCAGGAGCCTCCTCCAGGTCACAGAGTCCCAAGGCCTTGGGCTGTCCTTTTGGCTTTCCCAGGCCACAAGCAGGGAGCTGGATGGGAAGCAAAGCCACCAGGATAGAACCAGCGACCATACGGGATCCTGGTGCGTGCAATGTGAGGACTTTAGCCACTAGACCACTGTGCCAGGCCCTCTCTTGGTTCTCAATGTAGCTAAATAAAAGCTACTTGGCATCTACCAACTTCTCTAAAGACCTATGTCTTCAAGTACCAGCTTCATGCAAAATAATTTCATGAATTCTGACTTGGATCTTAAATACAAGATACATATTTTCTTAGATCTTCTGTCACTTAAATCAATTTAAGATGTCTGAAAACAGATATGCACACATTTATGTGAACATAAATACATAAATGCATATTTTAACAAACCACAGGGATTATCTTTTTCTCCATCTGTAATCAACCCATCCTTTTCAATTTTCCAAGTCAGCTTGGACTCCACAGATCACCTATCAATCACACGTTAGCTTTTCTTAGTTATAAACCGTAACCAATCTTCTAAAATGTTTTTTTCCACTGTCTTTTCTTAGTATCCTTTACCATGACAACTTAATTTGGGCACTGGCCATCCATTTCATCACTTAAAATAACCTTTCAGCTTCTAGTCTTTTTCCTTCTTTCCAAGAATTCTGAACACTACTGGTGGATGAAGCTCTAAAACGCTGCTTTAACCCATCACTCCTCCTCTCACAAGTCTGTTTAATAATGACAAATATTTTAGTTACTTAAGATTCTAAAACTGTGGCTTCAGAATGCTGTCCAATCTGTCTTTTTCCAATAACAAAGGCTCTCTAGTCAAAAAACAATTCTTTCCTTGGACTTCTCCCGGAAGCCAACCTACCACTACACTTCCAGAGTATTGCCTGCAATCCAGCTTTTACTCCAATCATGCTAAAATTATTTCTGCAGTTTCCCAATTGCAAAGCAAATATTTAAAGTCCTTCCTTTGCCTGACTTCATCATTCCATTCACAAGTTGTTCTTACCTTTCACAATTTCTTATCCCAATTGCACCTGCCCTCTGAAGCCACAGCCATGACCACACTTCCCTAACATCTTGGGTTTTTTTTTTTTGTTTTTTTCAGTCTGTGTTCCAGACTGAACACTGATCTCTGGTAAATATACTTTTACAATACCTTTACTAACACTGCTTTGCAGCACTGTTTACACACCAGATGAAACATTTTTTCTTCTGTGGAATTTTCCCCTGCTGTAACAAGCACTTATTCCTAGTGTACTCTCTCCCAGTTCCCAAACAAGAATCACAGCTCTGTGCCGTAACTATTTACCATGTTTTAACACTGTCAGCTAATTCTGTGAGGCACCTACCTACTGGACAATCAGAAGCAGGTTTTAAAAGACCTTCTAGTATGGTCTGATTTTATTCACTGTTACATATACATACTATACAAAGAGACATATACATACTACACATACCATTATTAGTAGTTCATATTCTGAAGCCAGGCTATCTACGTACAGTTTTTGGATATATCAAATCAATCTTTGAATGGGTTCCCTACAAATAAAATGAGGATGGAGGTGTGCATTTGGCAAGCTGTTAAGAAGTTCACATATTGGGATTTGGATCCTTGCTTGGGTTCTCGGTTGCAATTTCCTAATACAGACCCTGGGAGGCACAAAAAATTGGATCCCTGCGGACTTTGGGAGACCTGGCTTGTGTTCATGGTCTTGGCTTAAGTCTGGGCCAGGCCTGGCCTTCATAGTCATTTGGGGACTGAACCAGCAGATGGGGGCTCTATGACAATACTAACTTTAAAAATTTATACACCGGGGCCCAGTCTGGCACCTTAGCAAGTCAATCCTTCACTTGTGGTGCCGGCATCCTCTATGAGCATTTCTGATTTGAGCACAGTCTGGACTGGGAGAGTGGCAGAGAATGGCCCAAGTCCTTGAGCTCCTGGACCCATGTGAGAGACTTGGAAGAAGCTCCCGGCTTCTGATCAACTCAGTTCTGGCTGTTGTAGCCATATGGGGAGTGAACCAATGGATAAAGATCTCTCCCGCCCTTGCTCCTTCCCTTTAAGTTAACAATTTAATAAGTTAAATATATATATATTAAAATGTATTTAAAAAACAGTAGAAGCCAATTCTCAAGACTGTAAGGATTAAATGCATTAACATGTGCAAAGTGCTCAAAATAGTCACTGGCAGGAAATAAACATTAAATAGGTGTTAACTTTAATAATTAATATACCTTGCTTATTCCTGAACCTTTCCCACAGGCTGGTTTTCGGCCATACTGTGTCCTTAACTCCTTATCATGAATGGGCTCTTCGCATTTTTCCCTTTATGCAAATCTCAGCCATGTTTCAAAGCTGATCTCTGGTAAACCCATGAACAAACCTTCTCTTACTTAAACACTCAGAGTGTGGTTGGTATCATCATCTAATTAAAACTGCCTTGAGTGCTTATAACTTTTCACCTCTATCGGCCAATTTCCCTGCACATTTTGTGAAGAGCTGAAGACATTTCCTGTGTCCCGGGGAGTTCCTGAAGTGCGCAGTACGCGTTCAGAGTTCACTGTGAACAATAAAACCAGCAGAAAGGCCAACTTCGATCCTGCTGCTTGGCAATCACAGAAATGCAGAAGCCCACGACAGCATTCCAGACTTGTCCAGCAGCCAAGCCGCAAGGTAGTAAGGCCAGGGAACTCTAACCCCTTAAAGTGAGCAGCTCTGGAACAGCTGGGGGGATTGGGGAGGCCCCCCAAGCTGAGGGAGAGGAATTAAGGGGAGCTGCCTGGAACCCCCAAGAGAAATCTGTCAGCCTAACAAAGGGACTGAAAATATGAGCTAGCCATTTGTTTCAGAGGCATCCTGAACCTGCTGTGACACAAACTTCAGAGTTGTACAACACTCAACGTTCACCCTAAGATTAAACTGGGATGCAGATTCTATTGGGGGGTGGGGAGAAGTAAGTAATTCCTGACTGACAACACTAGTCACTGTGTACAAATACGGCGCAATAAATGAGCTGGCAGCAGTTATCAAATCCCAAATTACCTGTAAGAAAATTAAACTAGTACTGTCAACAACAGACGTCAAAGAAAACTCGGGTTACAGCATCTGACATTCCTCCTCACCTTTCCCGGTGATTAAAACCAAATGCTCAAGCTTATCACCAAAGAGCAACACCTGAACGTACAATTGACCTTAGTATCAACTTGGTTCCGTAAATGAGCATTTCGGCTCGCACCTCCCCCCTCGGTATTCACAGAAGTTTAAGAAGACGCGGCTGAACAGCTCAGAGGGATTACCTGAGCCAACAATTTCGAATTAAAAGTTATCCCACCTCGAAGCTGGCCATCCCACACAGTCTAAAGGGCTTGTTTACAGCGCGCGGACTAAACCAAATACCCCCCCAAATCCTTCTAGAAGCTTCACACTGGCACGCTAATAACTTATCTTAAAGCGCTAGAACTGATGAATTGCCCAATACCACAACCATCGATTTCTTTCTTTTTGGGGGGGGGGGGAAAGGTGGTCGATCTCATTTTTTATCTGTGACTTTTGGGGAGGGGAGGCAGGGGATTTTAAGCAAATGCAGTTCACCCACCGACGAGCAGAGCTCTTTACTTCTAAGGGATCAGGAGAAACGCTAAGATGACCGACCGGCGGGTCTATGGTCCTTGCGATCGAGCGCTACGTGGGGTTTGTAAGGAATGGCTGGATGTAAGAGATTCAAGCAGGAGAGAACGTTCGCTAACGTGTTTACAGGCTGTGTGAACTTGCAAACAGCGTGCAAACCTACTACAGCTGTAGCGTGGAAAGCGCGGCTCCGAGGAAGAGGAATCAACCCCCGGCTGGAGAATCGGCGTCAAGTGCGGGGGCTGACGGAATTTAAAGGACGCCGGAGACAACGTGGGCTCTGGGGTCGCCAAAAATAATACCAAAGGGGGCGGGGGTACCACTCATGACAGGGAGCTCGGGGTGGGGGGGCGGCAAGGGATGTGCGTGTGCCAGAAGGAGGCGGAGGGTTTGAACTCGGGGTGCGGGGAATCGAGGGGATGAAAGTTGTCCAAGTCGAAATCAGAGGTGGAAGCCGCACAGAGAGGAAGGAATGTGGGGATTTCCAGGGTCGGGACCGACACAAGTCAAGGTGCGCGCGCGGGGCCCGGCGCCGCTCGCTCGGCCAGGGCACAGGCCCGCTCCCAGGCCCGCCCGCACCCAGCCCGCTCCTCGGCCGGCCCCGGCCCCTCCTCACCTCAGGCCGCGGCGCCTCGCTCCTCCGCGACTCCACCAGCGGACGCCTGCCTCGGCGTCAGCCCGGGTCGGGTCCGAAGCCGTCAGCGGGGGAGACGACTCGGAAGCCCCTGCCCTCAGCGCTGGGCGCTGGGCAAACTTGCCCGGCCGCTGGCCGCTTCCCCGACCCGGCGCCGGGTCGCTCGCAGCTCCGTCCACTCTGGATGCGACGCGCGGACCTTCTACCGCGACGGGGTGCTGCGTCCATCTAGCCCCGCCCCCGCGGCGCTCCCTGGATGCAACCTGAGTGCTGATTGGTTTTAGCGAGTCCTGGGGCCTCCGGGCATTGGCCCAGCGGCTTGCTCCACGACGAGGGGGCGGGACTTGAGGCGGCTACGATTCCCGTAACGCAGCTCCCGGCGTCCCGGATTCTGGCGGCTGCGCCCGCGTCGTCTCTCCCAGAGATCGAAGGGTTCCCCCCACCTCCCCTTTGCGGGCGGAAGGAGCGGAATGTTCCATTTTTCCGTGGAATAACGGGTCATGAACCGAAGCCCGGGTGCTTGCCTGCGCCTGCCGTCCTCATTTCTCACCCAGGCGCTTTCGGCCTCCGTTTGCGGCGCTCCTTTGGGGCCTTCCCCGAGGGACTCAAAGCCGCGAGGGACCTGCAAGGCTCCCCTTAGGGACTTGGGGAGACCTCAGAGAGGCCCGTGGGGAGAAAGGGAAGGACTCGGTGGCCGAGAGTGTGGTGGTGGCTTCCTTCCAAGTTTTATATAAATCAATCTTGCCAAAGGATTTTAAGTTAGTGAATTTGGGTGTGCCTGATAAGTGAACCCCAAGAGGATACCTGCCAAGAAACTAGTCTGTTCTCCCCAATCGAATTTTTTAAGAAAGTGAAAATCAATGTAGCTATAATTCAGCTTCATACTGTGTGTGTTGTGTGTGTGTGTGTAAAACACTATAGTCTCCTTGAAGGCAATGATGGTTTCATGAATAAGTGATACCTATGAATTAACAAAGTATGAGGGTCATTACATTGAGGATTCAGCTGGAATAGAAGAGATCAACTTGACATCTCTTAGCTGTTGCTCAGGTAGTTTAAAGCCAGAGCGAAGCAGCCCTGAGCAAAGGGGTCAGCCCTTGTGGGTGTTGCCGCACCTGCCGTCGCATTCCGGGCTTGCTGCTGCCTAGGTTTAACCTACACCATGTGACCGGATTGCTTTGCCCTTCACGGAAGCTCTTATTTTTTTTTTTTTAAAGAAACTTTTAGGAGACTTCATTAAATTAAAAAAATAATAAACCTAACACGTTTATTTAGGGGCAACATCATGTAGTTAAATGAGCCCTGATCCCAAATACCTGGGTTTGGATGCAGGTGCGGCTACTTCTATCTCTGCTCTTGCGCAAAACTTAAGTGTTAACAACTGCAAAATGAGAATAATTGTAGCCCCCTCATACGGCTGTTGCTGATATGGACTGAATTCGATACACAGTAGGTGTTCAATAAATAGCAGCCATCATCATCATCATCATCGATTGTCTACTTGGTCAGTGTTTCCCCCAGCTTCTTTATACTACAGAATATATTGAAAATGATGAGACTTCCTCGGGCGTGGGGAGGAAAGGAAATCAGTATCTCTCAACACGCTAGTCAGCTTTGGCACACTGCTCAGGAAAGCCAAGATCTGAGTTTGCCCTCTTATGTTTTTGTATTGACTCAGCTCAGGTCCTGCCCCCAAGAAACCCGCACCAGGGCTGAAAAGGTGAATTCGTTTTGGATAAAGATTTTTCAGAAGAGCCTAACGCGAGGAGATCTGTGTTCTGTTGGAATGACATGACTCTGCAGACACATCTCTGGAGGACTGGCCCTGAAATAGTCACTTCCCTGTTAAGGATTTGTCACCAGAGAGCCCTGTCAAAATGCAAAGGTGGACAGAGGAAAGTGGCATAGCTGTGCGGCAGTCTCCACTGGGCACCTGGGATCCTTTGGAATTTTCAATCATGAAAAGCAGGGCGAGAGAGAGAGAAAGGCCGATGTAGAGCAAGAGGGTGGATTAACAGCACTGCAGTCACCCAGGAGCTGGTGAATAAAGTTAGGGGAAAAGGGTACAGAACAAAGGTGAAGGCTGCTCGCAGTGTGGCACAGTGGGTTAAATCTCTGCCTGTAGCATCAGCATATGATATAGGCGTTGATTTCAGCCCTGTTTACCCCACTTCTTATCCAGCTCCCTGCTAATGGCCTGGGCAAAGCAGCCAAAGCTGGCCTCTGACAGCAAACATAGGAGAAGTAGCCTGGATGTAGCTTCTGACTTCTGTCTTGAGCTTGACCCAGCCATAGCGGCTGTGGTCCAGCAAAAGGAAGTGCTGGGGAGTGGAGCAGCAAAAAGAAGATCTTAAAGGAAGCTCTTTCCCTTTCGCTCCTCCTCTAACTCTATCAAATGAATGAACTACTTAAAAGAGAGAAGCACAAAGGTAAAGAAGATGTCTCTGTGTCTGTATTTGCCTAAATCTGGCCCTGATCGTGCTTCCCATTGATTTCCTGGTCTCTGCTGTTTCTGAAATCCGGTGTTAACCTTAGCACTACGTCACAGCCTGCAGCAGTGGGATGGTTCCAGCACCCATATTCACTCAACACTCCAGCTCCATGATTTCTCGTCCTCCTCTCCCAGTGATTGTCCACTGTACTCAATCCTTGGAAGCCACAGTGGAGCCACTCCTTTACCTAGTCATCAGGTGAGACAACTCCATTTCCAAAACTGCGGATTGGGAGTCTTCCTTTCTGTACCCACTGTGACCTATCTTCCTCCTTCCGTTTCAGGCTCACTCTGTTGGGCTCTGCAGTTTGTCCTCAGTGTGACCTCCATTCTTTGTTCCCAAAAGCTTATCTGTTATTTCCTGCTCTTATCTTCCTAAGGAATAAGGACCTTTTCAGCAACCATTTTAAATGCCAGCTCACTAGCATCCTCAATTCCTTTGACCTTCAGCCCTGTTTATGTTGTCAGTCTTATTTCCTATTTTCCTTTTCTTGGAACTACCAGCTCCCCTTCCACGTGTATTCTTAATATAGAACCCTATTTTGCTACTTCCCAGAAAAATCAGTACTATCATTTGTCAGTATCCTTTTCTCCAATTTAGGATTCAACATCCCACCCTGCTCTCCTCAGAGGAGGAAAAGTTTTCTGCTCTTTTGAAAGGTTAACTCTTCTTCCTTGATCTTGGTGCTACTTCTATTAAGTTAACTCTTAGGGTTTGTTTTTCACTATTAGCATTACACATCTTTGACATTTAAAAAAAAATTCAGTGTTGGGGTGGCTCTTTGGTGTCATGTGGTAAGCCCCTGCAACATAGTCATCCATATGAGCTCCACTTCTGAGCCAGCTCTCTGCTAGTGCACCTGGGAAAGCAGCACAAGATGGCCCAAGTGCTTGGGCCCCTGCCACCCGTGTGGGAGACTGGGATTAGTTCCTGGCTTCTGCCTGACTCCACCCTGGCCATTCTAACCATTCAGAAAGTAAATCAGCAGAAGGTAGATCAAGCTTTCTCTCCTTTCTTCCCTCCATAACTCTATATTTTGAATAAATAAAATACATTTTTGAAAAAAGTTAAATGTTAATTCAGTGTTATATTGGGGATAGCCTTTCTGCAAATTAAAGGCTTTGTAATCTAACGGCCTTGAATTCACAACCAACTTTAAAATCATGAATTGAATACAAGTATCAGAATGAAGTAGGTCAAGTTACATTACAATCCATTTAACAAAATGAGTTCGAGATGAAATGTGAGTATAAATCATGTAGTAACTTAATTTCCAAGCTACAAAAAAAAAAGCAATTTCATAGCTACAAAACTCAGCAACGTAACTTCCATTTCAAAAATCTTACCAAGAATCTTAAAACAAAGCAACAAATATACCATAGGAGTACAACGTGAAAAAAAAATTTCCACAAACGAAACACACTTACATAACTCAAATCTTGATCCAGAGCAAAACTTGGGTCTCAAAAGGACCCCCCTTCTTCCCCAATTACTGGGAGATTGTGGATGACCAACTTCTGACTTCATAGTTGCCTATTATTCTAAAATGCAGAAGTTAGCAGAAATTTCTTAATACTAATAGTTGCTGATTTTACTTCACTTAATGAGTATCAAGAACAGAGCAAGAGGGTTTGGAAGGAAACAAGTACCCTTTTGCATAAAGGCTAAACACAGATGCGGCCTGGAAAGGAAGAGGTCTAGTTAGAGCCTCTCCAAATGGCCGTGAGTTGCTCACTGCTTTTGTGTTACCTGGTTCGTAAAGCTCAGCAAAGGAAAGGCCTGTGTAACCGTGCTAGTAGCAGTTAGGTGCATCCTATTTCCAGAAACTCACTCGAGATAAAGACATTAAGGATTTGGGAGTGTAGCTTTAGAACAGCCAAGGTTTGCTCCAAAATACCATGCCAGGGGGACTGAGAAGCAAAGACTTTTCTTTGTTGATTCTTGTTTTATCAGTCTTCCTCAGAGAAAAATATTCTGAGTTACCAAAGGGGTGCCTTGGCTCTAAGCCTGACCATATGCTAATTATCAGATAGGTGAAAAAGTACGAGCGTACATCTTTTAAAAAGTCATTTGGGGGGCCAGCTTATGGCACTGTGGGGTAAGTCTCCCCTTGTGTTGACAGCATCCTAATAGGAGTGTTATTTCAAGTCCCAGCTGTTCCACTTCTGACCCAGCTTGCAACCTCCAGCCTTGCATTTAGAATTTAGACAGAATACTAACTGCAAAATAATGGCTTAGGTGAATGTTCGTCTGTCCTCTTTAGGGAAAATGGCAGTGCCTATTGGAAAAGTGAGAACAAGATTAGCACACTTTCTGAGAGGGAATTTTCTGAATATTATACTGGCCGATTTTATTAGGATTTTAAGGAGGATGACCCACTTTCCATGATCAACAAATGAAGAATGAAGTTTAGTCAGAGTCAAATGGGACTGGAGATAAAGCAAAGCTAACTCATGTCCAGTTACAAGAATCATTATTTTGCTGTGAGGGTTCATGAGAGACAGGTCCTCAGGGTCAACACCATGCCCTCTTGCCTTCTGGTCGTGCTCATGTGATTTCTTCCCCTTGACTGTGAGGAGACTTACATGATCAGGTGACAACAGGATTACGGTGGTCCTCTTGGCATTTCCTCTCACTCCCTGAGACTAAAAAGTCAAATGGCAATGTTGTAGGCTCTGTTGTTATGTTAGATTGCA